TTTTATTAAAATAACTTAGTTATTTTAACTTAATCAGCAGTATGTATGGTTTCTGAGTGTTTATTATTTTAGTATCACATTCCTAGAAGTAGTGTTTTCCTTTGTAATTTGCAAACTGTTAGGACATCTTGAGCAGTTCTGTACCCGTAATTCTTCTTTTTAATGTGTTTTTAAATTGATTTTTAGAGGGAAGGGAAGGGAGGGAGATGGAAACATTGATGCAACTCTGGCATGTGCCCTGATGGGGAAATCGAACCCCGCAACTCTGGCATGTGCCCTGATGGGGAAATCGAACCACTGACCTCTTGGTGCATGGATTGATGCTAACCAATGAGCAACACCAGCCGTGCCCCGTATTCTTAATGTTTCTGAGCTAATGCTCTTGGTGAAATAGTTCTAATGGACTCTCCCTCCAGGTTTCTGACTTGGATGTATTCACTGGGCAAGCTGAGAGCCCATTTGGAAAACTCGCTTACTGATTGTATATGGACCATTGTGTACATGACTCTAATTCGTGTTTTCCTGCTCTTTAAATTATTCTTTTCCACTTTTGCAGAGTAGATTAACCCTAAAAGCTTTTAAAGTAGTAGTTTACTGCTCTATATTTACAACAGCTAAAACATTCCGAAGAAATTTCTGAGAAATACTTCCGAATGAGAATGGAGGTGACAATTTTATTGACAATTATTGACCTTCAGGCAAATTGACTCCTCTCTTCTCATTGTTCTACTTAGAGCAATAATTTTTAGAACTTTTAGACTCCCGAACCAGTTAAAAAGTTGATGAAAGCTACGGACCAATTTCTCAAGAAAATGCATATATGCATGAAACATCATATACATTCAGCCAGATTTAAAAACTCTTGCACTAGATTTTTAAAGACATGTTTGTAGAACATGTCTTTCTAAGATATGTTCTAAAATATTTAGGAATTTGCTTCAAAATAATCCAGAGGGGTAGAGTAGTGCAGCTGTAGATGTAGATACAAATTGGTATTGAGTAGATAACTGTTAAAGCAATTCAATGGGTACATGGGAGTGTGTTATACTATTCTCTGTTCTTTTGCATATGTTTGAAATTTCTGAGGCAGAGTTTAAACACACACACACACACACACACACACGCTCCCATAGTAAAGATTCCATAACCCTCCTCACCAGTCTCATAGATCACAGAATCTCCAAGCTGAAAGGGAGGACCTGAGGGTATTGACCCTGACAAACACAGATGAGACCCCCCCAGATAAAACCAAAGGTAGATTCTCAGGTGAGAATGCTGGGTTGTAGCAGTAATGGCAAGAACTAGTGAAATCTGAATTCTTACTGTTAACATGACTTCTTTTGTACCTGCCAGATGGGAACACATTTTGTTCTCTCCCTTTAATTCCGAAAGTAGATCTGTGGAAATCTTCGGGGTGGATTTACGACATACAGGTTGAGCTGTGATCCAGTACTGCCCAAAGCACTGTGAAGACTGGAGCTCTGAGCCAGGAGGTCCGAGGGCCTGGGCTCGAACACAGCCTTGTAGGCCTTGAGGACAAATATTCCAGGAGGAGTTGCTATAGAAACTGTGTGCTACCAAAACCTCGAAAGGAGAGGACCTCCAGGCGATCACCAGCCAGGGATGCTGCAGGGTAAATGCCTGGTGCTCGCCCACTCTCACCGAGGTGTCCAGCCATCATTTCCAAGTGCTCGAGGGGGTCTCTCATGACCAGTACTTTTCGGGTGGTTTCAACCTATTCCATCTCCGTTTTCTTGCCCTCTCCCAGATGAAGACCTGGACCCCCAGAAGGCGCACCCATCTTCCTCCCCAATAAATTTCCTTTTCCTTTTCTTTCTTTCAGTTTCCCTGTTTTATTTCTTCCTTTACTTGGGAGCATTTTTATGACCAGTTTTGCTGGGAACACACCAGGGACGGTCATGAAAGACACTAAACAAGATATATTTCAGCAATAAACAAGATTCTCGTATTTCTCACGGGATCCCAAAGAAATGAGGATGAGAAATAAAAATTCCTGCTGGAGTATTTACAATGTGCTCAGCTGTTGAAATGTTCAAAATGCAATCATGGAGGGTAATTTAGCACTTTTCTAATACAATTAAGGATGGTAATAATGTTGAAGAGTTTGGTCAAATTTAAAGAACCCAGTGAATCTTTAAGGACATGGGTAAAGAATCCAAACCCCCCCAATAACAAATACATTTTGCTGGTTCATAATTAGTACAGTATTTGCTGTTGTTGTCTGTCCCTATGATAGGGGCCCAGATTTGAAAGGATGCAGTTTAGCCTTCCCCTAGGCAGGGAAGAGTATGATCCAGATGTTTCCTTTTGCCCTACCTTCTCAGGCATGTGTAGGCTATGGATACCCCACTATCATGTATGTCTCTGCTCTCATTATTTCTCAGTGAAACTCTCCAGCCAGGGCATTCTTTCCCAACTGTCAGTCATTCCTATGCCGCCTCCCCAATTTTTGTGAAAGCTGAGTCTACTTCTCCTATTCTTTAAATTTATTCGTTTTTTAACTTAAATTTGTTAGAGCAAAAAATAAATACTTAAAAAAAAGCAGGATTCCTTGAAACAAACCACTTGGGTTCAAATTCCAGCTCTGCCTCTTACTAGTTCTATGACCTTGGGCAATTATTTGATCTCTCTGTACCTCGATTTCTTCATCATTGAATGGGCAATAACAGTGTCTACCTTGTAGGGCTGTGTGTGAGGATTAGGTAAGATGTCAATACATATAAAGCATGTAGAACAATGGCTGGCAAAGAGTAACTGTCCACAAATAACTGTTAGCTGTGACTGTTTATATTACTGTACAGTTGCTGTATTACTTGCAATAGATATAAATATGTAACTATTAAAATTAAAAAGGCTTGCTCCAATAATCACCTCTAGCATCCCCAGTGGCACAATAACCACAGGGAAACAGCATTAACCTATTCTCTTTTTTAAAATGATCTCCTTGGCTTCCATGAGAATGTAAGGTAGTCCCTGACTCCTGGTTTTCCCATTGCATCTCTAGATTCTCTTTCTCAGGCTCCTCATCTCTTGATTCTCTCATTTATAGATTCAATTGTATACATTTTCTCAAGGCAGTTTCACCCCCTCCCATGGCCTTAGCATAGGTACACCTACATGTAACCTTTCTCCACTGGGGTTCTTTGCCTGAACCTCACAATGCAGAGAATGACTCAAGTGCCCATTTTCCTCAATTCTCCCTGGGACATAACTACTAACACCATTCTAGGTGCAGGGGAGGGGTGTTAATTGTTCCAGACAATGGAGGCCTTATGGCATTACGTCTTGCTTCTCTAGTGCAATCCCAGTTGAGAAAGGCTCTTCAACCCCATGTCCCCACCCCTTATTTCTTCCTAAGGAAATGGCACCTGTATCCACCTTGTTGCTGAAGCCAGAAACCTGACAGTTATTCTAGGACCTCCCACCTCCCTCTCCCTGTTCCTCTTCCATCCTTCCTAATCAGCTTCCATTATCTGATAATTCTACCTACCTTCATATCCTTGAATCTTCTCACTGCCACCAACTTGATCAGCCCCATATCATTTTGCCCTACAATCACTTAACAGCAACCCGAGGGGTCGCCCTGCCTCCAGCAGCCCACCCTCCACTGCTTCCTAGGAAAATCTAAGTACAGCCTCATTCTATCACTTCCTCTTTAATGGCTCTCTAATAAAGCCCCAAACCCTCCACGTGGATTGCTGGCTCCTACTGTTACACCACCCCCTCCCTCTCTGCCTGGGATGCCCTTTTCCTTCCACCTGCTCCTCTACCACGACCCCCTCCTTTTGTAAGTCTTACTCATTCTTTTAGTTCTCTTCTGGCATGCTGTACATGGGAGCTCCTTCTCAAAGGAGCAGCGAGTCCTCTTGGATTCTGCAGCCTCAGAAGTTAGCAATGTTGAACAGCCTACAGGCTGACCACTGCACCCTGCAGGCCCTCTCCATTCCCAAGGAGCCTAGCAGATCAAAGCGGGCAGCTTGGCATCTGTCTCACAAAGTGGCTAAACTGGGAGAACTTAGTTCTCTAAAGGTCTGTGCCTCCCTGGTTGGAGGGCTGAGCTCCTGCTTGTGGCTGCTCAGAGCCTGTATTTTCACTGTTGGATGCTTTCCTAAGAGAACTTGAATTAATAGCTCCGTAATGAGCATGAGGGGCTGGCACACACCCCTGTTTTCTTAACAGAACTATGGCTGCCAGCTTCACTGTAGTTGCTACATTGTGAGGCTCTGAATCTCCCGGAGATTCCCGATGGTAGTAACAGCTGTGGCCTGAGAAGAGTTCCAAAAGACTGTGCTGGAGAAGCAGCTAAATTCCTTTTTTTAAAAAAAACCAAAAAACTTTTTATTGATTTCAGAGAGGAAGGGAGAGGGAGAGAGAGAAACATCAATGATGTGAGAGAATCATTGATCAGCTGCCTCCTGCTCACCCCCTACTGGGGATCAAGCCAGCAACCCAGGCACGTGCTCTGACCAGGAATCAAACTGGTAACCTCTTGGTGCATGGGATGGCGCTCAACCAACTGAGCCACACCAACCAGGGTCATGTGTCTCACATTCTTAAAGTATCACTCTGGCTGCTGTACTGAATATTCTCAACTTTGAAGGGCAGGGACAATTGTGGAAAAGGAAGATCAGTTAGGCTATTGCAGTAGTCTAGGTAAATGATATGATGGTGGCTTGGAGCAAAATGATAGCAGAGGAATTGGTGAGAATTCGTGGGATCATGGAGCTGCTAGACTGAAAGAGGAGTGTGAGAAAGGCGTCTAGAATGACTGCCGTGTTTACAGCTGTGCAAGTAGCCTTTTACTGGGTGGGAAATGCTGGGCAAAAAACATGCTGGGAGGGTGAGAGATCAAGAGTCAGATTTTGGACACGGATGCCCATTAGACTTCCAAGTAGAGATGTCATGTTGGCAATGCATATGGGAGTTTGGAGATCAAGAGTGTTATTATATTTTGCTGCATCATGAACTACTCCAAAACGTAGAGGTTTAAAACAGCAACAATTTATTATTTCTTACAATTCGGTGGAAATTCTGCTCAGCTGGGCAATCCTGCTCTAGATGGCATCAATTGGGGTCACTCGCTTGGCTGCATTCAGCTGGTGGCTGGGCTGAGAAGGAAGGTCCAAAGTGGCTTCACTCACGTCTGGCACCTCAGTGCTCCACCGTATGGCCTCTCCACGTGCTTAGCTTGGGCTTCCTTGCAGCATGGCGGTCATGGGAGTCAGCTCCAGTCAGGCACACGATCACAAGGGCAAAGAAACAATGCACTGCACTGTATTGCCAGCGTGTTTTAGATGTTGTGGGCTGAGCATGTTAAAGGTAGGCTGGGCTAAGGTATGCTATTTGGTAGGTTAGCTGTGTTAAATGCATTTTCTACTTAGATTTTTCAACTTATGATGGGTTTATTGGCACGTAACCCCATGGTAAGCGGGGCAGCATAGGTATATACATGCACTGCCTTTACACATCTAGAGAGAAAGAAACCTTTTGGGTAGTGTTCTCAGAAATGTGAGAACATGTCTTTTCCATAAACCCAACAATCCTCTCCTGGAGTCTCATTTGGGTTGAATGTGGGTAACACGTGCAATGCTGAACCAGTTCCTGCATCTGTGAAATACCATGTGCTGACCAGCAAAAGGGAATGAATTCCCTGACTGGTCAGGAGCATGTAAGGCCCACTCCTGTTGCTGGGCGGTCAGCTTCCCCTGAAGCACGTTGGCTGTACTGGGGAAGGGTGAAGGAGCAAAGGAAGAATAAATGCTGAGTAGATGACTAAGAGATTCTGTTGCTAAAGTGAAGCAAAGAACTGAGACAACTTAAGACAGCTTATAGATTGTCCAGGAAAAAATATGTGCCTTTGAAACTGTGTCATTTCAGTTTTTATTCCAGAATCATACAAAGCACTATCATCTGTATTATGTAGCAGTGGCTTTCAAAACTTTATTACCTTGACACACAGTAAAAAAGAACAATACCCTTTACATCACCACCCAGGTCATATATAGTCCTTCCTTCCTTTCTCCCTTCCTTCAACAAATAGGTACTGACCATCTACTGTATACCAAATGCTATTCTAAGCAGAATACAGTAGTAAACAAAGAGGGAGGGAAACAAAAATTCTTGCCTTCAGAGATCTTATCTACTGATAGAACATACAATAAACACCATAAGTAAGACACATACACAAACACTCAGAAACAAGATTCAAGGAACAAAACCTCCTATTACTACATTCTGTCACTCTAATGAAGTAGACAAAGTGTGTTCTCTTCCTATATTGCAGATGGAGTGACATGTAGAGAGATAAAGCGAGTGAGGCAAATTCACCCATAATCCAAGGGAAGCAATAATGAAACTTCATCTCAGGGCTTCTGACGGAGTCCACTGCTGCCCTTTCCCACGTCCTCTGTCTCCTCACAAGTGCCTTAGTTCCTGCTTCTCTGATTATGAAATCTTGATCTGGAGCAGCTCTTCCCTTGCCAGGTAAAACCACGCCGGTACTTCTAGGCCTATCTAGACTGCTGCAGGCTCCAGGATGCTCTCCCGTGCGACTCACTGCATTCTGACTTCCGCTAGCATTACTGCGGCACCAGAGTAGGCTCTGCCACTGTGAACTCTTTAAGAGCAGGTATCACTCATCATACCCACCCCCCCTCCACGAAGCACAGGCTTTTACAGAGTAGATTTTAATCAATACCTATGGAATTGAGTTGAATTTGAAAATGATTTAAAGGAGCAGGGGAGAAAGTGTTTACTAGCCAGGAGTGCATGATTTAGGCAACATCTATTTAAAAGGGTAGGACACTAGAAAAGATATCCCTGGAAAAAAGATCTCTTTGACCTAAGTTATAAAAGTCACACCTTAGGTAGAGGCTTTGATAGTATAAAAACTACAATCCAAATTTTCTATCTCCCTAGTATCAAGTAGATAGATTTAGAACCATGGATGTAGGTCGTGTATCACAAAGAACAGAAACGTAGTCACATTCAAAAAAGTGAGGACCATTAAAGGAAGCTGGTGAGACCTGAGGCAGGACAGGAGCCCGAGCCCCCAGGGAGCTCAGCAGCAGGAGTAAGGGCACCTTTGCCGAAATGGTGACCATTACAATGGGGACAGCTGCCAACTCACCCAAATGAAGAAAATCAACTCAAATTTTCAAGAGAAAGCATCTAAATGGCACAGCCAATTCTTTTGTCCACTTCTGCTTTAATTAGTTTGGGCAAGATGGGGCTATGTGGTTGGTGCAAATGTCTAGGGAAGGAGAAGAAACTTTTTGAAAAGGGAGATGAACTTTGATTAAATACTGACCCAAACTGGAAATTTAAGTTTAAATTTTATCCTACCACTAGAGAGGATGGGGACTCAAAGCCAAGATGAGGTCAGTTATAAGCAGTATATAAAATACTGTACCTGTGATATAGTATAAAATAAATTGAATACTATTAGAAGTAAAAATAATGTAGATTTTAGCTAAATGATCTCTAAGTTTCAGAGACCTACAGATCTATGAATTTATAAACATATATCATGAAAACTGAATTCTCCAACCCATGGTTTTCAGACTTTATTTTGAATTAAGAGATTTCTGATTCTATAGGACTAGGGTAAGGCTGTAGGGACTGCTTATTTAAACAAGCACTCCAGATTCTGTTAAAGATGTGTCATATTGACAAACTGCTTAACCCAACTTCTTAAAGGAAGTAAAAAGGGGCCCAGCTTGCACACGTTTCTAATTAGAACAAAAACGGACAATAAAACCATGCAGGTTCACCACTGTAATAACACTAAGAGCATGTATAAAATTTAAAACCACCACATTTCATATATTTATTTTTAATAGTATTTTGTCACCTAATTTATAGTGGCATAGGTTTATAAATGATGTTTCATTTAGCAACTTAGTTTTGGGTTTTCTTTTAAAACTGAAAATAAGGAACAGTTATGAGTTAAAGAATATTTCAGGATGACATGTTGACTATAAACTCAAAAGGTACACTGATACCAATTCTATGCACAGCAAATATGAATGTAACTTATTTAAACCTTTTGGTTCACATTTTAAAAAGCACCCTCATTTCTTTAAAGTACTATAAATGGCTTTTAAAAGTCTCTTGTGGACATGATGTACTCAGTCCAACTATTTGGGGGCTTAGGGGTGGGGAGTGAGTTTATGTGACCATCTAATTCAGAGTCTGATTTAGCCTTAAAATCAAACTGCATTACAAATAAGTTACAGTCACAGTAGCATAATCAGTCCTTAGATAATACAGCTTCCAAAGCTCTCATCATCCTGGTTACCTTTTTTTTTTTGCTTTCACTTACACATACCTTTCTTTTAAGGAAGTAAAAAGTATTAAGTTCACCGATTCTGAAAGTCACAGCTTGTATAGCACTGAACGATAGTAGCTTTGGCGTTTGATATTACAAAGTCAATGTCATTACAAATAATTTTTTCATTCTGGGTCCAGGCGAGGTAAAACAGGAAGAATAAGATTCCCAAATGCGGAGTCTTGAGTTATGAAGTATCCAGATGAATGGGCATGTGCATGCTGGGAAAGAGTTTTAAAAAAAGGCAAGTAAGCTATTAAGAGTCATAATTCTTCAGCCAAGGCATTAAAATTAATTATCTTTTCTGAGTGCTTGAGATCAAATTTTTTTCTTTTTCTTTGTTTTTTTTTTGAGACCAAATTTATTTTAACAATCAGTGCTTGTGCTAATTTTGTTAAAATACCCAGGAGATGGGCAATAAAAAAGAATTCATATTAACAAGTTGCACCAGGTACTCATCTATCATACATACTTTCTCCCCAATGATTCTTTTCAGTCAATAAATGAGTCAAAAACACAAATGATATACTTTGTTCCATGAAATGGAGGGAAACTAGCAACAATGGTCCCAACGTACTCTGCTTTTGATCAACAAAGCAGGAACTTGAGAAAGAAGGGCAGTAGTTGGAAGAAGGGGGGAAAGGCAGATGAATGCTGGAATATAAATAATAGAAAACCACCACTGACTTCCTCTGTCACTAAAGAAAGGACTGTTTTTAGGTCGTCTAAAGTGAGATTATCTCCCCCTCGCCTGTTTAGCTCAGTCGAATGAGCACTATGGCCTGTGGACTGAAGGGTCCCGGGTTCGATTCCAGTCAAAGGCACAAACCTCAGTTGCAGGCTTGATCCCCGGCCCCGGTCAGGGCACGTGTGTGTGGGAGGCAACCAATCGATGTGTCTCCCTCACATTGATGTTTCTCTCTCTGTGTCTCCTTCCCTTCCGCTATCTAAAAATCAATGGAAAAATATCCTCAGGTGAGGATTAACAACAACAACAACAAAAAGTGAGATGATCTCTAATGTCCCTTCCAATTCTGAAATTCTGAGGTTTAAAAGCACAGATAATGATGTCTCTGGGAATCTTAAATTATCCAAGACCAGAGTAGTACTGAAACTGTTTATTACTATGAAGAAAATGTATTTTTAAACTGATGGATTATCACATTCCTATGGTAAGAGGATGCTTTAAACATTTCCTGTAAAACAGCCATGCAGACATTACAAAAAGAAATCACACAACAATAATAAACCAGTAAGACCATCAAAGGGTCTAATTTGAAAAAAATATATATGTACTGTTAAACTAGCCAGTTCAGCTTTTAAGATCATTCTGTCCATCCAAATACCCTAAACTCTCGTGTGCAAGCAATCCCTTGCCAGGTACAGCACAGAATCAATCATGACCGAGTCGACACCATAAAAGATAGTTTCATTACTTCTGTTTTGGTCCTTCAAATCCTCTGGGCACAATTGAACATCAGCAAACCACTGCAATTATGTGTGGAACATTTTTATTGATATTGCTCCACTGAAATACAAAACGGAATTGTGCTGGCTTCTGAGACCCAGGAATCCCCAGTGAGACAAGAACGGCAGTTACACTTTGCTCACCTGCAACGCTGCCTTCTGCTGGGCGGCAATATGCTGCTGCTCAGCGTGATCCCGGAAGTCCTTATTAAGAGAGGGCCTCGAAAGTGCGATGCTGAAACAGGAATCGTAGTTAGGTGGCTGTTTCACATACAGGCTTCCTTACTTCTGAATCACATTTTTTCATTATATAATATGTTGGGATAAAAAAGACCTTCCGGAATATGTTTTTCCTTCTCCCACTGTCTACATTAATATACACGAAGAAAGCCTGTTATTTACTGGGGCTTCAAATAATGTCCTTTTTATTGATGATTTATGGTCCCCTACTTTCAAACGGATTTGAGGGATTCCAGTCTATTGTAAGTTACATTGATGATGAAAATTGAAGACTTGAATGTTTTGAGCAGAAGGTATGGCATGCAAAAGGGCCCAAGGCAGAAGAGCTTGACATGTTTGGAGAACTCACAGTTTAGTAGGACTGGAGGTAGGGGTTAGGGAAGGGTGAAGCGGGTTGGCAGGGGAAGGTAGGTGCCAGGATAGGAAGAGCTTTGTGAAAGAACTTAAGAAATGTAGACCTCATCCGAGCAGTAAAGGGAGACTTCCAAGGAATGCCATGAGCAGAGGAGCCACACGATCAGAAGCGCCACCCGATAGTTCAGAAAGACCACGGCGATGGCAGACAGTGCCGGTCACCTCAACAGCTGTTCTCTTCTTGCTAATGGAACCGAACTGAGTTCAATTATCAGTGACTTCATGCTTCGGGGCAGGCCAGGCTCATCCCTCCGGGGAGAACTCTGGTGTAAGACAATGCCATCCCCTTTGCTGGTTTCTGGCTTAGGCAAGAGAAAGGTACACCATTTTGAGCAACTAGATTTGATGGGTAGTCTGTTGAGGCTCCTGAGACTATAGTCCTCACTTTTACAAAAGAAACATAGGGTAGGAACCTCCTGGCCTTTGCCTCTCCAGGTGGCTTGGTGCAGAGGTGAGGCCTAGGATATCGCAGTCATATTTTGACCATAAGGGAGCTGCGGACTCATGGAGAAAGGCAGAAAGGAAAGATGAAAGAAAGCTGGATCACTGCTGACACAGTTGTGCCACCGCATTCAACTGCTCTGAACCACCTTATCTTCACATTCCTGATTAACATGTACCCTCATGTGTATGGAAACTGTTGGTTTTTTGCTATTTCCAGATTAAAATATCCTAACCGACATGACTGACAAATGTATTTGAGACTACAGGAAATCCAGTGACAAAGCAGTTATAGGAATGAGGAAAGAAATGACAGTGCCAGGACCAGGGCAATGAAAAGTGGACAGATTTGAAATACATTTCAAAGTGTAAACATAAGAGAATGGTAAATGCTGGGAGACAGTAATTACATGATAAACAATTAAAATTCGAATTTCTGACTTTGATAACTAGTAGATCTGTACCTCTCACTGGGACAAAACACACACACACACACTCTCACTGGGACAAAACACACACACACACACACAAGAATATTAAGTAGTTAGTTAAAGGAAGGGAAGATGAGTTCAGTTTGGTGACTACTAGTTTAAGATGCCTGGAGGACATCACAGTGGAGATGTTCAGGAGGCAGCCTGGAGCTGGGGAGGAAGGACTAGGCTAAAAATGCAAATGTGCCCTAACCGGTTTGGCTCAGTGGATAGAGCGTCGGCCTGGGGACTGAAAGGTCCCAGGTTCGATTCCGGTCAAGGGCATGTACCTTGGTTGCGGGCACATCCCCAGTAGGAGGAGTGCAGGAGGCGACTGATCGATGTTTCTCTCTCATCGATGTTTCTAACTCTCTATCTCTCTCCCTTCCTCTCTGTAAAAAATCAATAAAATATATTTTAAAAATAAAAATAAAAATAATTAAAAAAACGCAAATGTGTAAAAGTTACCCGCACATAATTAACAGGTTGTGAAAGTGGATGCAACTGTCTGGTGAAAAGATGTAGACTGAGAAACTGGGCCTAGAACAGAACCCTGAGGAACATCAACATTCAAGAGATAGGCAGTGGAGAAATGTCTGCAGAAGAAAGCAAGATAGTATAACAGTGAGTGAATGGAAGCCAAAGAATGAGTATTTTTAAGAAGGAGAGAGTGATCAGTGGTGTCAAATAATGTAAGGTCTCTAACTAGAAAAGGATGGTCTAGCAGCTTTAGCCACAAGGTGGTGGTTGCAAGTGAATTAGGCTCAAATCTATTCTAGGGAGTGGGAAGGAGACACCTGATAGTGGGTTGAGGTGTAAATAAATAAGAAAGTAGAGGTTAGTATAAACAACTCCATAAGAGGTCTGGCTGGAAAAGATGAGACAGTTAGGGTAGTGGCTGGATGGGATAATAGATCTGAGGGAAGAGATTTAAGATGGCACAAACTGAATAAAGGGCATTAAGCTATCTAAATTTACCTACTTTGCAGAATGCTTAAAAAAGTGGGACACTGGAGTCCAACCAGCATAGCTCAGTGGTTGAGCGTCTACCCATGAGCCAGGAGGTCACGGTTCAATTCCCGGTTGGGGCACATGCCTGGGTTGCAGGCTTGATCCCCAGTGTGGGGCGTGCAGGGGGCAGCTGATCCATGATTCTCTCTCATCACTGATGTTTCTATCTCTCTCTCCCTCTCCCTCCCTCTCTAAAATCAATAAAAATATATTTTTTAAAAAGTGGGACACTGGAATAATTTAAGTTACAAACAAAACTCATACAAAACCCTTTTCATAAAAGTAGGCTGTAGGGAAAATTAAATATTCGAATTAAAATATTTAAAATAGAATCAATTAAATAGTCTAATTTTTTCAAATCTAGCTAGGGAACAAAATATAACGTAAATTCCAATATTAAAGAAACAAACCATTGCCAACCCACTTGAATTATTTTGTCCAAGATATTTTTTAGATCACTGAACTTAAAAACCACATTATTCTTTGGTACCTAGCTCCAGGATGATTTGTTGAAGATTGGTTCTGCATTAGTAATTTTCTTTTCTCTTTGTCCAATTCTGCCAAGATTGCAACTCTATTTTTGTTTTGAAAACCTAAAAAAAATAAGAAGGTTGGGAGAAGAAAAAGAGAAATAAAAAACATTTTAGAGCTATTTTAGGCCATCCTGAAACCCAGGCAGCAAAATTCTCTTCTCTAACATGATAATGAACTCACTAATAAGTAGTCTCTTTAGATGGTTACCGTTTCCCGACTGCTATTTCCCAGCCACTGTAACAGCTTAATACATGGATATATGCAAAGCATAATGCTGACCAAGGACTTTTAAGACTCAATTCTAAGGAATTTTAATCACCAAGGTATGGATAACAACATTTGTTTTTTAACAAAATCTCTGAGGCCCCAATACTGCAAGGACTAACCTCTATCCTGCGCAGTCAATCTCTGGGAGTGGAGATTTTCTTAGTTCTCACTTTTAGGCCTCTTTATGAAAGTCTCTTTCATGGAAGAATAAAGCATTAGACATACTTAGATCAAAACAATGTTTCTTTTTCTCAACTGCTTTCATTCAGAAATGACACACAATCTTTCAAGGAATAAGTAAAAGAATTGCAGCTGATTAGAAAGCAATTCTGAGAAAGAAATGGAGCATAACTGACAGGGTACAAAAGAGTATGTTCTTTATCGATACTTAACGATGGGCTTGATCTTCCAGAAGATCTTGGCCCAGAAGCAGTAACAAACTATGTTTTAAAAATCTGAATTCAATTCCAACATGTACATACAAAATATATACACTGAGTTTGCAGCATTTTCAGCTCAATCTCGTGCCATCCCACTCCATCCCGCCTGGGATGTGAATCATCCCTTTGTCCAGTGTATCCGTGCTGCACGTACAGTACAGTACGATATTTTGAGAGAGATCACATTCACATAACTTTTATTACAGTGTATTGTTATAACTACCCTATTTTATTATGGTTGTTAATTTGTTACTAGGCCTAATTTTTAAAATAAACTTTCCCATAGGTATTATGTATAGGAAACACATACTATACATAGGGCGCTGTACTATCTGAGGTTTCTGGTATCCAGGGGGTCTGGGAACATTCTCCTCATGAATAAGGGGGAACTACTGTAGTTTACAAACCACAGCTTTAGACCTTTACTTCAACTAATACCAAAGCAACTGATTGCCAAGGCAATCTGCCAAAGGGGTTTAAAAAGAAGGTGCTATACAAATAAAGGCCACAAAAAAGTATTTTTAACGGTTAAATAACTTCTTACAAATTTAGACCTCTAATAAGACTGGCCTTCACAAACCATAAATAGCAATTCATCTTTATACAACTGGGAATATTACATAAATATAATAAGAAAACTTTTAATTTATGTATTAAGTTAAATTTACTAAATTGCCTATATCTGACCATTTTTCACTTACAAAAACAACAACCGTATATAATTCACCAACTTCTCATAAAAACCACATGTCTTTCTTGGCTTGGTTAAGAAGGAATAGCCTCCTTAAAAAAATTCATACATGTTTGACAATCAGAGCACAGGATGCTAGAGTTAACTCCTTGTTACTATGGAAATCAGGTGTGAAAATTAGTAACTATAGGCTCAAAATTAATATATAATTTCTAAATTAATATAGTTTCTTTGATTGTCAGTGTTCTTAGTCCACTAAGGAAGGCTATGTTATTGTCAATCTATTTACTACCTCATGGTTGGCCTGTTATCCAAATAAACAAATGTGTATAAATGATCTGATAATATATTTGATGGGAAATTCAGAAAATGAGTATTATTGATTTCATACACTAGAAACTTCCCTAAAAGTCATGTAATATAAATTAAAGTAAGATATTTATGGACGGATAGGTATATACTGGAATGTGTTATTTAAAGGAATCCAAAAGTGAGTTCTTTGTAAAGTGAAGAATGCTTTCAATGGGAAAGAAAATTGGGCCTAGCCGGTGTGGCGCAGTTGGTTGAGCATCGTCCCTGCACCAAGAGGCTGCCAGTTCAGGGCACATGCCCCGGTTTCAGGCTTAATCCCTGATGGGGACCATGCAGGAGGCAGCTGATCAATGTTTCTCTCTCTCCCTCTCCTGCCCTTTCTCTCAAATCAACAAAAACATTTTTTTTAAAGGGAAAAACTGGTACTCTCCCATGTGTATATATGAAGTTGCATATATTTAAAGCAAGTTACACCGCCAGCTATATTTTCAACTATAGGACAAGATTTTTTTTTTCCTTTTTTTCACAAGAGCCTATTGTATTTTTAGAAGTGAATTATATAGTTACATCTTTTTAGAGATTTAGAGGTACTATACATATAAAATAGAAATTTTTTGAAAAGAAAAGTAAAAAATCCAGTAGTGTTTAAGTTATATGATGAGCAAAATAAGTTACCACATTGGAAAGAACTGAAGTGCTGTTTAGAGAAATATAAATTCCCTAAAGATCAATTTGTTCAAAAGAAAATATTTTATACTATCCTCCGTGAAAAGGAACCAGGGTTCTTGGGGAGTACTAGTTCCATGTCATAGGGAAGGAAAATAATCAAGATGGACCTGGAATATCTTGTCAGAAAGCAAGAAGAGTTTTGGGTTTTTTTAAAGGCTCAGGATATGTTCAAAGAACAGAGAAGCCAGTTTGAGATTAGCCAGGCTGACACAATGGGACATTAGAGAGAATAATAAGTATAGCTAGATGGAACAAATCAAATCTAAAAGCCATGAATTCACAAGAAGATGCAAAAAGGAAAGTTAAAGTACATAAAAAGACAGTTGTGAAGAAAGGGTGGAAATAATTGTTACTATGTTAATAATTAAGTTAGTGTTAACATTTAGGTGTTTTGTTTCTACAAGTATATGTCTGTAAAGTGTAGCTGTGTACTTTTTTGTTTAAGTACAGGAGGAAGGGGTAGATACAGGGAACTGTAGCTAAGCTAAAAAGTTCCAGAAAAGCAAATTATGCACTGGAACAAACTCTAAATTCAAGAGTAGCATACCTTAGTACAAGCCAGAAGGGTAAATCTGCTTTCTTCTGGACCATAGATGGTTTAGGTAAGACTTCCACTTGGGTCTGCGGTCAACCAAGACAACCTCCCAGGAGTTAAGCCACCCACTTCCTACACAGCACCCTAAAATCACAGCTAAGAGCATCAAGAGTGGCCCCGTCAACAGTTCCCACCACTTGATCTGCAGGGTTTATAGATATTTCTACAAGCATTTTGAGATAATTATAAAATATTCAAAGAGAAGAATTTACATTCTTTACTCAGTATTTTACCAGGATTCTCAGGACCAATCCAACTACCACCACATGATCACAGGACCTTGATACAGTATTACCAATAATGAAAGACTCCTTACACAAGAATGGTACCTTGGACAAATTCCAGTTTGAGGATCTGCCTTTGTATATTAAAATTCTCAAAATGTTACTTCAATCCAAGAATAATGTTCCACACCAGCGATCGCCAACCTTTTGGACCTCACGGACCACCAGTATAGTCCGTGGACTACCAGTTGGCGACCGCTGTTAAATCCACACTACTATGGATGCTAAAAAGAATGAGACATCAATAACTGTCTGCCAAGAGCTTATGAGATTCAGCATATTACAATATGATAGAAGGCTAGATCTGAAAGAGGGGTTAGTGGGCACAATGGGATTCTGTCCCCTACATCAGAGACATTAATATACTATAATGTATGGGTCAAGAATTGTTTAGTCATTGTTCTTTCAGTTATCACTATAAGATAATTATGGCACTTGACATTCAATCCCCATAATAAGTAGTCCCTATACTCATAAGCAGTGCAGAAATATTTAATAGAGAAAGTAAAATGCAATAGATCCAAATAAGTAAGAATTTAACATTTTCATCGAGAGCTGGGAGTCTATAGAACATGACGTGGACTCCCTCTGCTGGTGGCTAACGGCAGCAGCTCCATGACACCAACAAAATCTCTGACAAAACAGTAACAAAAGCCAAAGTGGTTTTGACTGTGCTTCATGGTGAATTTGACTGTGGATCAATCAAAGGCCGCACTAAAAATGATTGTGTATTATTGCAACTGCTAAAAAATGAGTAACCAGCAAATTGTAAATCTCGTGTATTTGTGTTACTAGAAGAGATAATTTAAAATTTCATTTTCATTACGACTGCATTGTGATTGTTAGCATATTTTCTTTTCAAATTAGACTTCACTTAGTTTTCATTTCTGTTTAATTTTAATTATTTTAAATATGAGTCCTTATAACTTGGAAAAGAGGTCAAAGACCATAGGGGAATAATGACCTGTGATTTGAGAGAACAGAACAGTATTAGCTGGTTACCGCTGGTAAAGCTATGACTGCAACTAGCTTTTTACTACACTTCTATAAAACTCATGTAACCCTTAGTTTACCCTAAATCCAACTAATACACTAAAATAGATTCAGCGGGCTTCCAACTCCCAGGAATGGCAGAGTAGTTTGGTTACAGTAACCCTATTATTTGAAGACATGAGAGACTGACCAAAATTGGGCAGAAACTGCAACTGGTGAGATTTGGGAATCTGTGACCTTTTGCCTGAAGCACTCCTCGATCCACAAACAGCTTGGACAGCCTCACCTTACTGATTTGAGGTATCAGAGGACAGAGTTCAGGGCTGGCAGAGTAGCCAAATATTAGGGGAGGGACGTAAGAGGGAAAGGCAGGAAGGAGTAAAGCCTAAAACATGCCTATGAAATCCACCCACAGTTTTTGCTTTCTGTAAACCGCACCTATATGGGGAGAGCCCAGGGAGCCCAGCAATAAGCAGCAGCTGGAAGCTAAAAGAATGAGCAGAGGTTTCAGTTGCTGCCCAACACAAGGGAGACAATCTGGAGTAAGAGTTGAGCCAAGCTGTCTGCTAGAAAAAAATCACATTACAGGGGAATACAACAGAATCCAGGATCTCTACAACGTATTAGAATATCCAGTATCCAATAACAAATCACTAAGTATAGTAAGAAAAAGTAAAGTGTGACCTATACTTAAAAAAAGTGCAGTCAACAGAGACCAACTCCAAGATGATCCAGATAATGCAATTAGCAGTGATAAAGGACCAGCATCCAGACTCTAAAAAAACTTCAAAATAAAAAGACATAACCCAGTTTTTAAAAAGAAGCAGAAGACATGAACAAACACTTCACAACAGAAGATTTACAATGGCCAATAAGTATGTGAAAAAGTGCTCAACATTTGTCATCGGGGAAATGCAAGTTACTACTACAATGACAGGACACTTCACACCCCCAAAGTGGCTCCCCCCAAAAAGACCAACAGCCAAGGCTACACGTGGGGCAGCCAGAATTCTCACACTTTGCTGGAGTGAATGCAAATGGTACAGGAACTTTAGGAAAACGTTTGCTCGTTTTTTATAAAGTTAACTATACATTGAGCTGCTCCATTCCTAGATATTCATCCAAATTATCTACAAAAAGGCAGCAAATATTCAAAGCGGTTTATTCACAATGGCCAAAACTGAGAAAACCCCAAAGCCTCTAAACAGGAGAATGATTCAATGAATTGTGGTAAATTAATACCATGGAACTCCGAAATAAAAAGGGATGAACTACTAGTAGATGGCACAACATGGATACGTCTCACGGAGGGCATGAAAGAAGCTGGATACAAACAAGTGCACACTTTATGATTCCATTTATATGAAGACTAAGATAACACAAAACTGTCCTGGCTGGTTTGCTCAGTGGACAGAGCATGGGCCTGCGGACTGAAGGGTCCCAGGTTCGATTCCAGTCAAGGCCACATGCCCGGGGTTGCAAGCTAAATACCGGGTGGGGGGCGTGCAGGAGGCAGCTGGTCAGTGATTCTCTCTCATCATTTATGTTTCTCTCCCTCTCTGAAATCAGTTAAAAAAAAAAAAAAGACAAAATTAAGATTTTTAAAAATCGGAACAGGCCATACCAAAGATGAGTAACAAAAAAGTATGGTGGGTCAAATAGGAATTTAAACTTGATATGGAAAAGAAATAGAAGTTTGCTTTAAGTTTTTGAAACAGGAAACTACTTACAAAGTAGGATTTAATATTTTGTAGAGATTAAATCTTATCTTTTAAATAAAAACTTCTTTAGGATGTGTCTAACTTGACTTGCCTTAGAGAGCTAGCTTAATACAGACGAAATGTATAATAAAATTTTTAGAGCAAATGAAGATAAAGGTATGGATATAGCTTGGTGACAATATAACTTCTTTAAAAGTGGTTCTGATTTCCAGTAAAGAGCAAGAAAACAGATGTTAGAGGAGGACCTAAGGTTTACAATGTGAATAATCTTAACACAGATTAAAAGATAGGATTAATAGCCATTAAGGATCTTATATATCTGATACAATGTTGGACTTGCTTTAAATAATGGGGTGTTACTTTGCTATTTATTTTTTATTCTGGCTATCGTAACTGCCCTATGCCAAATTTTCTATTAAAATATGTTTACTATGTAGGGGGAAAGTTTCTAGTAACAAAATACGTTCCAGCATGCATTACCTTGTCCTGAAGGGTTTGCTGCCATCTTCCTATTTTCTGTTTCAACTATGTTCAGTGGCAAGTGGTCAGCACTTTACAATCACCTGTAAAACACGTGTACATGCATACAAAATGCACCATACTTTAATAACACATGAAAAGTGGTGGGGAACGGCTAGCCTTCCTACAGTGAAACGTCTGCCACATCTTCATCTCTTCAGAAACATAAACCTGAAAAGCACACAGACTGAAAGCACAAACTCTGCAAGCTCGAGTTTTTCATTACAGCGTGAAGGTTAAATATTCTTGCAGACGTTGTTATCAACATTGAGCACTGCTGTCTTTCATATGTCATTAGGTTGTCTGCCAAATAGCACCAAACGTTATCAATCAATTGATAACATCGATACGGTCACAGTAGAAGGAAGAAAAAAAAAATCACTCATCTACGGTGCCTCTCGTTTCACTTACAAAATGCAGCCAGCAACAACTGTGCACACTGGGAGCTAAAATGGAAAAAGAAGGGAGATCCCAAATAGGCAACATCGGACTCCTGCCCTCTAGGAACACATACTCGGTGGGAAAATAATAGTCTCATTCAAGCAACCATGCTAAAACACACACACACACACACACACACACACACACACACACACAAACGGTTAACAAACGCGCTCTTTAAAGGGCGTCAACACTGCTCAGGAAGCTGAGAGCGAAGGGCGCTGTCGGCGCGCTGAGGGTGCCTCCAGGGAGCCCGGGAAAGTACAAGCGCGAGCAAACGGAGGTCGGTTTTGAACAGAACACGGTCAGGCGTCTCCCGGGGCTGAAGCGCAGAGCTAGCGCGGTCCCGTTAGGAAGGCTCATCTGCGGAAGGGAAACGCCCATCAGGGGCGCGACGGGGCTGGACCCGCGCCTCGGAAGGGTCCCCGCCGGCGGTCGTGGAGGGCAGGCTGGGCGGGGGCAGCGGCGGACACGAAGGAGGGGAGCAGTGGGAAACTGGGAGGCGAGGAAAGCGGAGAGGCCACTGCCCAGTGGCAACAGAGACAACGGCAGCCAGTCAGCACCGGAGCCACACACCTCCATCCCCCGGAGCCGCCGGGCGGCCCTACTTACCGGGGACGCGAGTGCGCCAGGGACGGCCTCACCGTGGGATCGCGCTCTCCAAGGGGGCGCGACCACTTCCAGGCAGGCAAACCTAGCGCAACGTGCAGCTCTACAACCTTCCCGCCCCCGCTGCACTTCCGCCTCCTGATGACGTAACCCGAGGAGCGGAAGTCCCGCCTCCCGCCCGGGCCCCACAGCCGCTGGCCACGCCGATTCGTGCTTTAACTGCCGCCTCAGCGCAGGTGTCACTTCTCTGCCGAAAACTGACAGCCGAAGAGGCTCCTGGGAGATGCAGGCTGCGCTTCGGCGGACCCGGCCGAGTGGGGCGGAACGCGGGGACACAGCTGCTGGCTCAGCGAGGTAGGGGCGGGGCGGAGGCCGACTGGGTCCCTAGTGCCTTCCAGCGGCCCCTTTCATTGTCGAGGTCGCCGGCCGGAGAAAAGCCACCCCCACGCCGGTCTTGCGACGGCGGGAACCCTCTGAGTCTGGGGCCGAGTCCCCGCTGCTGCCGGGACTCGGAGGGCGTGTCTTCCTAGGCTGGGTTCGCTTTCAAACTGTAACACCCATCTCGGTTGCAGGTCCACACACACCGGATTCCCAAATCCCGGGAATATTTTCCTTTTGTATAGTTTGTATAATTATACACATAAGAAAAGAACTCACCATGGGGAAGTTTTCAGTGCTGTTTAGTCATCTGTGTTGAAGAAATGGCTGGGCCACTTCTCAGAGCTCCTAGTGGGATTTCCACGTTTACGTTCAAAGCTAACCCTCTATTGATGGGAGCCGCCTGGGCTGCGGTCGTTAACCCAGGATGCATCTTTTCTAGAATGTGAACATATGCTCTTCATAATGGGTGTCTTCTCGGCAGTAAATATTTGTGATGTGCTGTTTGGCTGTGCATGGACCCGGGACTAAAGCAATAAGACTTCCAAGCATTGATTGAGTGCCTGGGGCGCGCGAGGTGCTCCCTGTGCGTCAGCTCCAGGCCTGTCATCTCTGGTCTGCAGGAGACTAAGAAATGTTGAGTGACTTATTCTATGTTAAGCAGCCAGCAGTTTCAAGAGACTATCGGTCTGCCAGATGCTAAGGCCCAGGTTCTAAAATCTCACCCCTGACTTCCCTCTGGAGGAAGGAATTCCTCTGAGACCAGCTCTTGCTGACTCATCTAGATAGAGTGGAACATAGCGACTTGGTGGTTGGCCAGGATCCCTTTTCAGTGGGAGGCGTTTTTTATTCCTAGCGTGACTAAAAAGATGATCAAGATGTAGATGCCGATAGAACCTTAGGAGAACCTTTTGGTTTTAGGTTGCCTGACTAGACAATACAGAAACCAGGGCATAAGAAACCTCCAAAGATAAAAGTTCCAAATGGACATGCTGAACAACCGCTTATTTAAGGAGAAAAGGGAGAGAGGGGGCGGGTTTCTACCCCCAGAACAACATTTTGCAACTTCCTGGCAAGTTCAACCTCCCAGGGTTGGGAGAATATTAGGAGGAGAAAGATCAATGAACTTGCTGCTAATCATTTTGCCCTTTACTGGTGGGTGTTAGCCCTTGAACCCCTCTATCTTCTTCTTGAGAGATTTTTGTAATTTCTGCCTCACAAGAATTTTAACATATTGGTTAATAGTAGGTCAGTTTACTTGAGTTCAAATTCCAGCTCTGACATTTAAAAGTTGAGCCCTTGCCCTAGCTGGTTTGGCTCACTGGATAGAGCGTCGGCCTGGGGACTGAAGGGTCCCAGGTTCGATTCCGGTCAAGGGCATGTACCTTGGTTGCAGGCACATCCCCAGTAGAGGGGGTGTGCAGGAGGCAGCTGATCGATGTTTCTAACTCTCTATCCCTCTCCCTTCCTCTCTGTAAAAAATCAATAAAATTATTTTTTTAAAAAGTTGAGCCCTTGTTGAACTTTTTGGTGCTTCAGTTCTGTCATCTGTAAAAGGGAAATAAAAATATATGAGGGACCAATTCACATCCATTAGATGGCTATTTAAACACCCCCCCCCCCCCCGCACACACACACAAATAAGTATTGGTGAGGATGTGGAGAAAATGAAACCCTTGTGCACTGTTGGTGGGAATGGTACAGCTGCTGTGGAACAGTATGGCAGTTACTCCAAAAATTAAAAATAGAATTACCATATGACCCAGCAATTCCATTTCTGGGAATATACCCAAAAGAATTGAAAGCAAGGCCTTGAAGAGTTAGCACACCCATATTCATAGCAGCACCATTCTTAACACCCAAAAGGTGGAAGCAACCCAAGTGTTCATTGACAGGTGAATGGATAAACAAAATGCGGCATATATATATATATATATATATATATATATATATATATATTATTCAGCCTTAAAAAAGTACATTCTAATATGTTATAGCACACATGAACCTTGAGGACATTATGCTAAGTGACATAAGCTAGTCACAAAAAGACAAATACTGAGTGTGATATTGTGACTTATAAGAAATATATATTTCTCATATATATTGGTCTTCGCCACAATTCTTGGCTCACAGCTCCAGAAACCTTGGGTATTTCCCAAGCGTTGAGAGGGATAAAGGTGTCTTTTGTTTTGTTCATGAGGTGGTTTTGGAAAGCACCTACAGGTGGGGACTGGTTGCCAGGGGAGCCAACCAAGTGATTACAGGTTGGGAGCATTCAGTCCCACCCCAGACTTCCTGGGCTGGGGAAAGGGGCTGGAGATTGAATTCAGCCACCAACTGCCAATGATTTAATCAATCGTGCTTATGTAATGAAGCCTTTATAAAAACCTAAAGAGGGTGTTGGGAGAGCTTCCAAGTTGGGGAGACAGAAGGCTTCCATGTGCCCGGGTGCGGGCCCCAAGTTCCATGAGGACAGAAGCTCATTTGTTTGGGACCTCACCCTATGTATATCTTCATCTGACTGCTGATTCATATCCTTTAATATCCTTTGTAATAAATCAGTAATCTAGTGAGTAAACAGATTAATTGAACCCAAGGAGGGGTCTTTGGAACCTCCAATCTGTAGCCAGTCAGTCAGAAGCACAGGTAACCTGGGCTTGTGTCCGCCATCTGAAGTGTGTGTGTCCGGGAATGGGAGTCTTATAGGATTGACCCCTTAACCTGTGGAATCTGATGCTTTGGAATTGGGTCCAGGAACTCTATTTACTGCATGATTCCATTCACAGGAAGTACTTAGAGTTGTCAAAATCATAGGGACAGAAATCAGATTGGTGGTTGCCAGGGGTTGGGGGGTGGGGGAAGAGAAAAATGGAGAATTCTTTAATGGGTATAAAGTTTCAGTTTTACAAAATGGAAAGAGTTCTGGGGATAGATGGTGGTGATGGCAGCAACTATGAAAGATCTGTGTTTTGCTGGATATCTTGGTACTTGGTCAATAGGTCTTAGCACCTCCATATCTACTAGGGCAGTGGTCGGCAAACTGCGGCTCGAGAGCCACATGCAGCTCTTTGGCCCCTTGAGTGTGGCTCTTCCACAAAATACCGACTTCTGCACATGGGCCACGAAGTTTCAATCGCACTGTACGTGCGCACCCACACGTGGTATTTTGTGGAAGAGCCACACTCAAGGGGCCAAAGAGCCGCATGTGGCTCGTGAGCCACAGTTTGCCGACCACGGTACTAGGGGAAAGTCCAGGATAAAAGGAATGCATGTTATAGTCCTATGGCTCTGTCAAATGATAAGGAAACTTGAGGTAGCAGTGTGTGAATTACTTCATCCTGAGCCATTATGTTTATTATAGACTTTCAGTATCAAAGTGGAGTTGATAATAGTCCTCACTTTCCAATGAAGCCACCCTAATCCTCTATTGCTATTCTGTGATAAAATATTTATAGGAAATGCATTAGGCTAGACAGCCTTTAAAATCAAGTGCGGAGAGCCCTGGCCGGGTGGCTCAGTTGGTTGGCGCATCCCTCTACACCAAAAGGTTGTGGGTTTGAATCCTGGTTAGGGCACATACCCAGGTTGTGGGTTTGGTCCCCAGTTGGGGCACCTACAGGAGGCAACCAAAAGATGTTTCTCTCTCTTTCCTTTCCTCTCTATCTAAAAATCAATTTTTTAAAATTAAGTGTGTAGAGATTTGAGTAAATTACAGAATTAGTTACCTATTGCTTGTAACAAATTATTCCAAAAGTTCTTGGTTTAAACCAACAGATACATATTTTCTTGCCGTTTCTGAGGGACTGGAATCTAGGCGGTGGGATCTTTAGCTTGGGATCTTTTCTGAGATTGCAGTCAAGATGCCACCTGGAGCTATAAGGTCATCTGAAAGCTCGGCTGGATAGAAGGATCTGCTTGTAAAACTCACTCACGTGGCTAATGGCAGGAGGTTTCAATCCCTCATCACACAGGCCTTCCCATAGGGTTGCTCATGATGTGGCAACTCACAGCCAGAGCAAGTAATATAAGAATTAAAGAGAGTGACCAAGATAGAAGTCACAGTGTCTTTTATAACCCGAGTGTGGAAGTGACATACCCATTGCTTCTGCCATATACTGTTGATCACACAGACCAACCTTGATACAGTGTGGAAGGGGACTACAAAGCTGCGAATAACAGGAGGTGCGATCCTTCGAGACCGTTTTAGTCTATAACAGAATACCATAGACTGGGCATCTTATATGCAACAGAATTTTATTTATCACAGTTCTGGAGGCTGGGAGAGAGATAGAGAGTTAGAAACATCAATGAGAGAGAAACATCGATCAGCTGCCTCCTGCACATCCCCAACTGGGGATGTGCCCGCAACCCAGGTACATGCCCCTGACCGGAATCGAACCCGGGACCCTTCAGTCCGCAGGCTGACGCTCTATCCACTGAGCCAAACCGGTTTCGGCATAGACTGGGCATCTTATATGCAACAGAATTTTATTTATCACAGTTCTGGAGGCTGGGAAGTCCAAGATCAAAGTGCCAGCATGACGGTGAGGATGCACTTCCTGGTTCATAGATGGCTGTCTCATTTGTAAGGGCACTAATCACATTTATAAGAGCTCTGCCCTCCTGACCTAATCACCTGCCAGCAGGTGCAGATTGAGGCCCAGTGAAGTCGAGTCTTATCCACAGTTTGCAAGCCCAGTCTGTGGCACAGATAGCAAAGCATTAAGTCACTCTGCCTCTTTCCCCGTGGAGGGAGGTAAAGGGGTGCCTCCTGTCGAACATAATAAAAAAGAATCTGGAGGCTTTGGCTACAAATAAATGACAAAGATTTATTCATGGGTCTTAGAGTTTGCAAACTGTAAACACAGCTAGAGGAAACCCAGAAGTGTTCCACAGAAGAAAGAAAAAGTATTCATTTTTATAATGTAACTGTAGCACAAGAGAGAAAGGAGCCCTGCAGTCTTAGCTATTTGATTAGTTCATTATGATGAGTTCAGCCGTATGGATCATGAAGATGATGAATTTCAGGTGGTCATCAAGAGGGGCATCAAGCAGTCTGGGCACATAGAGGTTTTCTTTGAGGAGGCCTTACACTGGACTGGAATCCAGGCGCATCAACATACACTGCACTGATGATAGTCTGTATCATGCCTAACACAGGATTGGAGAGTTACAGAAAAGTTTAAAAGTTCAAATGTCAAAGATCAAATACTAGAACAAAAGAATGCTCCTATTTATCACTTAGGAATTTATAAGGGTTTCAGGAGCTCTGTGCCAGGAATGGGGGGTAGGGGGAATGGTGCAAAGACCAATATATATTTTTTTCTATGATTTCACAAGGTCAGAAATAGACACAGCTCACAGCTTTTTTGGTGCAGGGAATAGGTGAGAAAAAAAACAAATTATTAACTTCCAAATACTTCCTCTGAGATTAGATGAATTTAATAAATTCTTACAAAACAATAATTGTTTCTGGTTAGTGCTGAATGTCCATTTTTTGGCTTTCCCCCCCCTATCATTTGTGATTCTGGAGTTGCTCATGAATTATTACAGTATTCACAACAGTTGTGCTTTCGGCTGAGGAACCTTTCTGCAATGTTAAGGAATTGATATTCTTATATTCCTTTGTATGTTGGTTTATATGTCCCATGTATTAAACAACAAAAATTCAGTTGAGTAAATGTACAGATTAAATTGGCTTTGTTCAACAATTCATGAATCAGGCAGCATCCTATTTAGTAAATAGGAGTGCCAAAAAGCTGCAGGAAAGGAAAGGTTTTTAAAGGCAGAGAGGGGGGTAGGACAAGGAAGAAAAGGATTATTTCAGGCAAGGTCACCTTCCTTTGGGGGACAAAAAGGGTCCATTAGGTGGATACCTCACGGGTGCTGAACAGGACATTTCAGACTGACCGATTAAGATTATATTCCTAGGGAATGTTGAAGCTGAAATTAAGTTAGGAACTAAGTTTTGCTTCTGTGATGTGGGCTTAGCAAAAGTGATTCCATTTGGGGTCTGTTGTTTCGTAACACATGAGTGAAGCATGACAGATTATTTGCTGTATGACTCTAGATCAGAGGTTCTCAACCTGTGGGTCGCGACCCCTAAGACCATCGGAAAACACATATATAATTACATATTGTTTTTGTGATTAATCACTATGCTTTAATTATGTTCAACTTGTAACAATGAAATTGGGGGTCACCACAACATGAGGAACTGTATTAAAGGGTTGCGGCATTAGGAAGGTTGAGAACCAATGCTCTAGATACTACTTGAAGGGATGGTAAAGATTGCATTCTAAGTGATAGTTTAGGATACAGTTAAAATATAAACGAATATTCTGAGATAATGATTTATCATATGCATCACCATTTCAATGTGGTTTTGTTGTTGTTAATCACCTGAGGATATTTTCCCCTTGATTTTTAGAGAGAGTGGAAGAGAGGGGGAGCAACACAGAGAGAGAAGCGTTGATGTGGGAGAGACACATCAGTTGGTTGCCTCCCTGCACCTGCCCCGACCAGGGCTGGAGATGAAGCCTGAAATGGAGGTATGTGCCCTTGACCTGACTCGGTTCCTTCAGTCCTAGGCTGATGCCTAGGGCTCAATGTTGTAATATGATATATAAAATTTGTGCCGAAACCGGTTTGGCTCAGTGGATAGAGCTTCGGCCTGCGACTGAAAGGTCCCAGGTTCGATTCCGGTCAAGGGCATGTACCTGGGTTGCGGGCACATCCCCAGTAGGAGATGTGCAGGAGGCAGCTAATCGATGTTTCTCTCTCATCGATGTTTCTAACTCTCTATCTCTCTCCCTTCCTCTCTGTAAAAAATCAATAAAATATATTTTTAAAAAAATTTGTGATTCAGTTTTGAATCTAAGTATTACTTTAGTAATTGGCAATTTCAATTGCTTCCTTAACAGAGGACATGTTTTATCTAAATTGAAATTAATAAAAAGCCATCTAAAAAGTATAACCACTTAAGGAAGTGTGTCCAATTGGACATTACTATTGTTAAATTGATTATGCAAAGAGACCATTAGACTGAGGGGGTTCTAATGCTGTAGCAGCCTGCATAAGTGAACCAAAATCTAAACATGCAAATATCTTAAGGTTACAGAATTGAAGCCTAAGGACAACCAATTACAAACAGCCAACTAGGCTTTAAGCTATTCCCAATCAATAATTACCTTTTCTCTCTGAAGTGTCTCCCCAGTTCCTGTCTGTGGAGCTCCCCTAACCTTTTCCCCTTTGGTGCTGTCCAATTGGAATTGATTTCTGCTTAAATAAACTTAAAAATTTTAATATGCCTCAATTTATCTTTTAACACTGTTCATGGAACACAATTTATGTGATACATCTTATAATCTTACTAGAGGCCCCATGCACAAATTCGTGCACCAGTGGGGTCAATGCATGTCATAGGGAGTGGTTGAGTGGCCATAGCATATCATTAGCATATTATGCTTTGATTGGTTGAATGGGCGACCGGACAACTGGACACTTAGCATATTAGGCTTTTATTTTATAGGATAATAATGTAAATATTATTTTGCTCCTGTAAAAACAATAGAGAGACATTTTATAAACTGTTTATGTATTGATTTTATTACTCATATCAAATATTAACAGACCACCTAGACATGAAAAATAATAGAGTAAGTTGTCTTTGATATTTAGCCAACTTTCAGTCATTTTGAAGCCATAGCTTTACACACATTTGCAGCTTGATTTAGAACTTTCAAGTATTTAGACAGACGGAATGTGAGCCTGCATCTGTAGTCTTGCCGCAGGTCCCACAGATGCTCAGATGGGCCTGACTAGGTGTACGTTTACCTGTGCTAAGCCTGTTGCTGTGCTTTCATCAGCAGCATAAGAAAATTAAAGTTGAAAGATTTGGGTATTTTTTTTTTAAATCTTAAATATAAATGTGGGCATTGACACCTATTTCATTAGTCGATTAAATAGTGGTCATCCAGATGGCTCATCATATGCTATGTTATATTTTATATTCAGAATGTAGTTAGAATATTAAGAAACCTTTTAAGATCATCTTCAAAATAAAGGTGCTGAGGACATACCAGCTCCAGTTAAAAATACACATTACGTATAAAGTTAACAGCAAAGAGACATAATTCTGAAGCAGGAAAAATTTGAATAAGTAAAATTGAAGTTTTTTAAAAATGGAAAATACTTCTGTAGTACACCTCAAATTGTATGACATGAATTCAACCTTGCTTGTCAACACCTCTCACATCTGATGAAGGTGAGGTAGGACACAGAGGAACATGTCTGTACGGTGGAAGAGAGGATTGCAACATGGCTATAAGTGGGAGCCTAGGACTGAGCCTGGAGGTGTCCTTGCTGCTGTTGAGTAGCGGATACGTTTAATTTGAAATAGAAAGCCATGCCTGTCATAAGAGTTTCTTTTAAATGCTATGCACTTTTAATTGGGGTGTAAAGGGGATTTCTTACCGTTCCTTTTATAGTTATATCAATTTAGGAGTGGAGAAAGGCAAGCAGGAGGTCATCTGACACAAATAATACTGCTTAGCTTTGTAAAAGAAGTAGGGGGCATTGTAAATGTTTAACTCAGATGTTTCATGTTTTGATTTAAAATTTTTTTCTTAGTAGAGTGTTCAAATTACAAAAGAAATAAATGCTCATTGTAATGTGTGAAAGTAAATATTATGAAGTTGTAGAAAGAAAATGGTAATCTGATTCCTGCCTGCCCTGCTGCCCCCTCACCCCAAGATAAAACCCTTAACAGCTTGGTCCATATCCTATTATGTGTTTTCTATTCTCATGTAAACACATACACATATACCTTCAGTCATATACAGTAATCCCAGTATACATATTACTTCAGCACTTGCCTTTTTATTTTTTATTTTATTTATTTATTTATTTATTTATTTATTTTAATCCTCATCAGAGGATATTTTTTAAAATATATTTTATTGATTTTTTACAGAGAGAAAGGGAAAGGGATAGAGAGTCAGAAACATCAATGAGAGAGAAACATCGATCATCTGCCTCCTGCACACCCCCACTGGGGATGTGCCCGCAACCAAGGTACATGCCATTGACCAGAATCGAACCTGGGACCTTTCAGTCGCAGGCCGACACTCTATCCACTGAGCCAAACCGGTTACAGCTTATTTATTTTTTAATCTTTTTTTTTTGCACTTGCCTTTTTAATTTATCATAGACCTCCTGATACATGAAGCTCTAATTCCTTTTTTACTGCTGCATTATATAGTGTGGATGTTAATAGTAATGTCCCAGTGTTGCTCCTTAGTTGTGACAAATGTACCTTAACTCTGGGTGAGGAGTATATGAGGACATTGTACTATCTTTGCAACTTTTCACTAAATCTAAAAGTACCCTAAAATAAAAAGTTTAAATTAAGAGGGAGAGGAAGATCCTTTTGCTGGCCGCATTCTTCCTGAGGGAGCATATCTAGGCCAAGAAAGCATCCTGCCTTCTGACAATGAGTTGCTTACTTTGAACAAATTATGTAGGTGGGTCAGAGAGCAATTCTGAAAAGTCATTTCCCCTGTCCAAATTCCCCCAGCGAGCTCAGAGAAGCCTTCCCGAACAGCAGATTCCGACCGCCCTGACCATTCCACGCATCCACCCCAGCAAGCACACTGGTTCACAGTGGCATCCCCGGTCCTCCCCTGCCTCAACACTGCTCAGGATCATCAGAGGCTTCTTTGCTGGACATGTTGTCCTGGTTCTTGAACCCTGGCTCTTTTCTTCACCATTGACACTTGCCTTGACCACCCTCCCCTTGCGTTAGTGACCAATTCAGATCCCTTACCCTGTTTTTTTTATTTTTTATTTTTAAATCTTGGCTCCCCACTCAACTCTGCACAATCTCTATTTGTGTGTTTATTATTGATTTTAGAGAAAGAGAGAGGAAGGGAGAGAGAGAAACCTCAATTTGTTCTACTTATCTATGCATTCATTGGTCGATTCTTGTATGTGCCCTGACCAGGAATCGAACCTGAAACCTTGGCATATTAGGACAACACTCTAACCAACTGAGCTACCTGGCCAACTGCACTGTCTCTTGATTTCTGTACCACCTGAAGCCGTACTGGTAGGTGAGAGATATTCTTTCTACTGCCTTTCACTGCCCGACTAGCCGAAGGCCCCCTGGGTCTCATTTGGAAGGAGTGGACAGTGTGTAGCTTCTCTTATCCATGTGATGGGACGCCATCAGCAGCAATATCTCTACTCTAATAAAAATACAGGAGCTGTGCAGATGAGAGTAGCTTTAAAGAGATACTATTCTCTTTTATTAGTAATTATGATTTTGTAGCATATGTTCCATTTTGTAAAGAGAGCAGTGACATGCTTTAGTTTCTGGTGTCTTCTTCAGTTTCCTGATTCCCAGACAGTACTGGCCATGTACCTGTGTATCAACACTACGCAGGGTTCTAGGTAGTATTGGGCTAATGGATGGAACCAAGTCAACAGAGCAGACCTTAATTCTGAGGCTGTACAGAAATCCAGGGGTCGAGGTGAACCTAGAACTCTGCTCTCATTCAGTGTTAAATTACTTTGCTTGTACCATCAATCACTTCCTAAGATCCCACTCCAAGGGACTAGATGTGTGGCTTCTCCTAGGAAGAACGTGGGTCTGCCTTGACTTGATGACAAGAAGCAGTTGAATGAGACTAACAACCTTATAAGGTCAAACCTGGAGGAGCCAAGAGACACTATAAGCACTAGAAATTTGGAACTGAATGAACCTTCATTCTAGTGTAGGACAGCATGAGTTAAGAAGTCTTGTAGAGGACTGAGTTTGATTTTGTAGAAAATGAGCTTTCCAACAGATAAAACTTCTAGAAGTTTCTGGGGGTTTTGGCCTATGCCCAAAGGCTACTATTCTCACAAGCAGAGAGAATCAGATCAATGGGTTGTAGCGAGCGCAGCTTCCTGAATCTCCCATTTTCTTCACGAGTGGTGGTGATGGTGTGCTGCCTGTCATAGCATAAGAGGCCTGAGCTGGGGCACAGAAAACCAATCAGAGAATCCTGAAGCTTCAGCATAATTAATTACCTCATACAGCTGGCAGTGTGAGGGAAGCCTTACCATTAGCAAGTCACCTCGCCTGGATCTATATAACCTGGGTACTGAATATACTTCTCTTGCTGTGGCCCCAGCACCATCTTGCTACTCTGCCCACAGGTTATACAGAAGGACAAGGCTTTGTGCCTGCAGTCTCGCTCCCTCTGTGTGACTAGGATGAGCCTGTGGGCCTGTACAAGTCACCTGGTTTACAAAGCGCAGGAGGGGCTGGCAGAGCAGGCTTGGCTGGAGCTACCACAGTGGGGCAAAGGTGTGGGAAGAGCGGGTGGAATTCAGAGGCAGGAGCTCTGTTCCTCTTATTGCTTTTTCCACATCTTAGAGAGCAGTGTTTCTCAGCTTTTTTTTTTTCCTTATCACTGCCTCCACTGGGGAAAAGTTGATTAGATTTAAATTTTCGCTAATGAGAAAAAGCAAATATTAAGACATAAGATTTTGGCTGGTAACTTTGGAGGGCCACAGCCCTTGTAATATCTAAGCGTTTTTTGCCCCACCCCCACCCCAAGAGTCTATTTCCCCTTTCGAGAATGCATGTGATAGGAGGATGGTTCTGCTGATCGGAACACCACGACCCACAAAGGGAAACTCGCTTCTTCGCTTCTCTCCTGCCTGCTTGCATTCCTTGTCTACAGAATCTCTAAGGATGAATTCAACTGTGTGTTACAGGGATCCCAATTAAACTGTCTGAGACCACAGTGGTGTTTATGGTTTACTTAAGATGTCCGGGGTTAGGTGCAGTGCTCACTGGTGCCCTCAGAACACAGGCTCTCATCTACTCTGCTATCCTCAGGGTATGGGGTATGTCTCCACTCTTGGCCACAAGATGGCTGTAGCAGCACCAGGCATCAGAACCTCACAAAACTGCATTTGTAGGGAGAGAGAGGAAGAGACAGGACAACAGTGAAAAGGGGCAGATGACTGGTAGGCAAATAAAAGTTACTGAGCACTCTCTTTTTTAATTTTAAATCCTCACCCGAGGACATGCTTAGAGAGAGGAATGGAGAGAGAAACACTGATGTGAGATAGAAACATAGATCAGTTGCCTTCCTTACGCACCCCAACTGTTGTACAGGGCGACACTCAACCAACTGAACCACTCCAGCTGAGCCTCTTTCTTTCTTCACTCCTTTACCTTTTGGCTTTACCTAAACTAGTATTCCCCAAACCCACGTGGACACTATGCATCCACTTGGAAGGGTGCACTAGCAATAGCACTAGCTGGTTGGCCTTGAACAAGTTACTTAATATCTCTGGGCCTCAGCTTCCTCATTTATGAAGTTAGGATCATGCACTAGATGCCTGATTCTGTAAACTTATAAATAGCGCCAATGTGGAGATTCTTGAATCCATCTTTTGATGAAGATACACATGCATTTCTGTTGTGGTCTGGGAATGAAACTGCTGGGTCATGTGATATCTGAATGTTCCTCTTCTAGATGCCCTTTAAGGATCATTCCTAGTAATGGACCCACACACTTTCATGGAGCACATAGCCAGTAAATAGGTGTTTCTATCTTATCCAAAAATTCACGGTGAATAAGATTCCGTGCCAGGGCTTGTCAGCTCAGTATCTTCTCCAGCCCAGCCCCTGCTGGGTGGCCACCACAAAAGGATACATGCACACCCCCACACTCCAGAGCCTGCTTGTGAAGAAAGCCAAGTAGCAGGTGTCCCCTGTGATGGTGGTGAGTTGCATTTCTATGGCCAGAGGAGGCCCTTGTTACTAGGAGCCCACAGGCCAGCCAAAAGAAGTTTCTGGAGCTCTGGAAACTATTCACTCCATCGTGAGGCACTTCATAGCCAGCACTAAAAAATGAATGTCAACAGATAATTTAGTTCATCTGAGCCCCTCTGTACTTGAAGCACCTGGTAGGTCCTCAATAAAAATAACCATAAAAGCATAGGGTAAAGTTCGCTGCAATAGCATTTTGTAAGAGAAATTTGTGTTTTAAGCACTTTTCAGGAAACAGGAAATTTCTCCAAAGCAAGCACTTAAAATACTATATACAAAAGGAGGTTTGGAATGTCAATTTCTGGTTTAGAGAAATGGGTGGAGCTCTAAGAACAGTGTCTGTCAAAGCACAGTCTATACACCAGCATCAACATGAGCATCAGTTGTTAATAAGACTTAGATTTCAGCCCCACCCCAGAATCAGAATCTCTTAGGTGGGGTCTAGAAGTTGGCACGTGAACAAACTCACAGGTAGGTGGTCCTTGGGCACCAATCCCATGATCTGTGCTGCATTACCCACTGCAAAGGGTCTCCATGTTTTTGGGGGCCAGGCACTTCAATATAGAAAGATAAATGTCCTATCATTTACCCTCAAGCATCTCTGCTGGTTCTGGGGCAAGGTCCAATTTCTTGTTTGCAAAACTCTTCAGATCCTAGCCTCAAGTGGACCTGCTGGCTTTTGCTTTTTCCTGGGATGCCATTGGCTGAATTAAATCATCCACACAATTTTGCCTCTGTTGGCGACAGCGCCTTCTCAGTTGTCCCTCTTGTTTGAGACAGCCCTCTGTGGCTTTGTCCATGTCACTCTGAATGCTCTTTAAAAACCTCCTTTGTCCTCCTTAGCCGTCCACTTCAGAAGTGCTGGTGTTATTTTGAGGCAGGGTTTGGGATACCATGTAGAATAAAGCCATGATTGTATTAAAAACCAGAAGAGGGTGAGCAGCTAACACAAACATGAATACAGCCTAAGCACATGCTGTACCAGGGGAGAGAAAGAGAATGCTCTGTTGTGGCTCTGCTTTGTTTCTGAGGTCTGGGTGCTCATGTAAAGTTCTCACAGACTTGCTAGTGAGATTTACAGGATTCCAGCTTGGCAAACTTACCAGTTTTGGGGCCCAGGGCCCTGGCCCCTGCAAGGCACAAGCCTACATGCCTAAGATTCCCTATGGATGCGGGAAGGCCCCAGGCTCAGTTCTTGGGTTCTGTGCCCCAAGAACTGTGCCTCCCCCCCCCCCCACATATCTAGTTTGTTCTTCCTCAGAGCTCAGCCCTCCACAAATTCCACCAAACGCAATAATTTTCTGTTCTGACATAAAGTTTTCAGGCCCTGGCCAAGTAGTTCAGTTAGTTGGTGTCGTCCAGATGCACCAAGGTTGTGGGGTCGATCCTGGTCAGGGCCTGAAAGAATCAACCAATGAAGCATAAATGGGAGGAGCAACACATCGATGTGTTTCTCTCTCCCTCTCTGTCTCTCAAAACCAATCAATAAGAAATAAAATAAAATCTCATAAAAACTTCACGTTTCCTCCTTAGCACCATGTTGCTTTGAAAACCTTTCGTAAAAACATAGTCACCTACTTTGGGACACTTAACGTTATTTCACTATCAGTTTTCCACCACAAGGAACACTGCAATACAACAGGAAATGGTGAATATGAATAGGCAGTCCTGGGCTAAAAATGAATGGTGGAAACTTTTACCAAAATGTTTTCCACCGAAGTTCACTTTCTTTAGTTTTGATGACTACCTACTGGGTCATTGTGGCCAGATGCCACTGACCAACCAGGAAATTGAAAAATAAATAAATAAACTGTTTCAATTTTGAATCCAGCCTTTCAGGAACTCTGGTTTTATGTTTTTGTTTTGTTTTAGGGGTTTTTTTTGGCGGGATGGGAGCATACAAATTGGTACTCTGACTCAAACTGAGCAAATAGAGGAGTTTGGAGTGCAGCATGTTTAATTATGAAGATGTTGGGATTATCACTTCATAAGAGTAGCAGAGGAAACTTGACAGAGGGGGAAAGGAAGGGAGCGTCTATGCCACAACCAGTATTTTGCTAGGAATACGATTTCATTCCCACAACACTACCTTGCTCCCTGTGCTCCTCCCTTTAGGTTAGAAAACAGGATCATTAATGTTAGGCAACTTGCTCAGGGTCACCCACCTGTGGTGACCAAGTAGGACTTCCAATGTCAATCACATTTAACTCTTCCTTGGTGTCCTTGAAGAGA